AGTTATTACCTAGCACTAATTTTGTGTGTCTATACTAGGCCCCGCTTTTTTGGCACAGTGGCATATACATACAAATATAAAAGTGACCCACTCTCTTGTTGGTTATCCAGCTGTTGTCTAGCGATCTCCAAGGAATGAGACTCGGTTAATACCTGGCAGATAGAAAGTATAGCAGTTAGGAAGTATAGTCTCCAAATCCCACGAGGTATTAGTTCTCATCTATTCGGCATTGTTTAGGCCTCATCTTGAGTACTGTGTCCAGTTCTGGACATTGCATTTAAAGAAGGATGCTGACATATTGGAAGAAGTTTAGAGGATGGCAACAAGGATGATCAGGTGGCTGGAAACCAAGCCCTATAAGGAAAGACTGAAAGAACTGGACATGTATAACCTTGAAAAAAGAAGACTGAGTGGTGATATGATAGCACTTTTCAAATACTTGAAAAGCTGTTATACAATGGTGCTCGCTTGACGAGGATAATTCGTTCTGTTGTTTTCAAGCGGGCAGAGCTCAGGGCCGTCTGGCCTTGGGCTCCTTTGGGGCAAGGGGAAGAAGGGGAACGTGCGCGCACGCAAACACCGTCCGGCCTTGGGCTCCGTTGGGGCGAGGGAAGGAGAAGGGGAACGTGCACGCGCGCGCAAACACCGTCTGGCCTTGGGCTCCGTTGGGGCAAGGGGAAGGAGAAGGGGAACGTGTGCGCGCATGCAAACACCGTCCGGCCTTGGGCTTTGTTGGGGCAAGGGGAAGGGGAACGTGCACCCACGGAGCAGAGAGTACTCTGGGGCTGATTCCTCATCAGACCAGCAGGCTCCGGTGGCGGCTGCTCCGCCGCTGCCAGGCTCCCACTCCACACTAGGCAGCACAGGGAGCGCAGCCCCGCTGTCCTCATCTCCCCTGCCTTACCATTACCATTAAAGCGATCGCAAAAACTTCATCATCAAGCAGTTTTGTCGTTTAACGAGGTAATTGTTAAGCGAGGCACCACTGTACAGAGGGGGAGCAAGACCTGCTCAATCAACCCCAAGTGCAGGACACACAATAATGGGCAGAAATTACAGGAAGCCAGATTTCGATTGAATATCAGGAAAAACCTCCTAACTGTTCAACCAGTATGGCAGTGGAACTAATTACCTGGAGAGGTGGTGAGTGTTCCAACACTGGAGCCATTCAAGATAAATTTAGACAACCACCTGGCAGATACCCTTTTATTTGTATTTCTGCATCGAGCAGGAGGTTGGACTCATTGGCCTTATAGGCTCCTTCCAACTTCTTTATTTTATGATTCTATGAAAAGAAGCAAACTTTTGTGACCTGGATGCTCTCTTTGATTCATTGAACTTGGTGCCCATGATGATCATTTCTTGACAGAGTTAGCGGAATTTTACCAGGATTTTTCCCAGGTGGTGATAACCGGCAGAGTTCCCAGCATCAGATGCCTCTGGATCCAAGTCATTACAGCTTGCTTGAGTCTTCTGACATATGAAATTACTTATGTCAAACTCCAGTTTTTCTTTCCTGGATTTAGAATATAGATGAACAATAGTTAAAAGAATGAAATCTTGTGATGGTTTAGAAACCAACATATTTTATTTGCATTAGTTTTTATGGAGCAACCCACTTCATCAGATCGTCACCCATGCATCTGATGAAATGGGCTTTTGTCCATGAAACCATATGACAAATAAAACTCAGCTTTGATGTGCCACAGAACTGTTTCTTGTTTTTTCCGCAACAAGCTAAGATGACTAGGTAAAGGTAAAGGTTCCCCTTGACATTTAGTCCAGTCGTGTCTGAGCTCACTCTGTCGCATGGATTCAATCTTACAACTACTGGTCTTCTGACCTTGCAGCACAGAGGCTTCTGCGGTTTAACCTGCAGCGCCACCACGCCCCTCCAACATGACTACTTTCCTACTAATTAAATGAGAAGAGATCTGGAATTGAAGTGTGGAGACTGTTTAGCTCTTTCTAAAAATGTTTTAGTGGCTCAGATTATAGCTTCACAACAATCCTGTGAGGTAGGTTAGGCCTGTTTGTCCGAAAGTGAAATAGATCTAGAGATCTTGTAAACAGAATTCTGTTCCTTGAATGTCCCTTTTGATGGAAGAGATACTGGGTTTTTGCCAATTCACTTTGCACTCCTGAAAATGTGTTTTAGCAGTTTAGGACAATCTCTTGAACTGAGTAGGAAGTGGCCTTGGAGGTTGCAGAGAAAAAAGTAGATTGTCATAAATAGCCGCTGCCGCCGCCACCGCCACCACCACCAATGGGAGGCTCAGCTGGACCTAAGACTGATTAACAAGTGGAAGATTCATTCTTTAGAATGAGTAGTGTTTGACTGTCCCGTGTCCTGCATTGAAGTGCAAAACTAGCCAAACATTAATCTTATTGGTTGCCCTTGAGCAAGTTCCAGTCTCTTTCTCTTTTGGTATTCTGGTGAAAAATGGAATAACCCCATGTATGGCCAGAATTCCTTTGAGGAAATTGAGCTGGAAATATTTGGGTATGGTGTGCTGCTAAGAGTGTCAAGAGAGAACAGGGAAGTGTTGTACTAAAATCCCCGTTTAGCCATGAAACTACTTGGTGATTTTGACAATCTCTGTTTCTCAAGTTAACTTATTCCAGATGCTTATTGTGAAAATAAAATTAGGAGAGAGGCATGCATCTTGAGTTACTTGGAGGACAGGGTGGGTGGGTGTTGGGGATATAAACATAACAGATAAATAAGATAGCTGAGTAAAAGGTAGAGAGGTGACATGTTTTCTGGTTTTCTTCAAATATGGTTGTAATGCATATATCGACATTTGCATATTGCTAACATTCTGCTTTCCTTGCTGCTCCTGAAAAGATAAGCAGTCAGAGCTGGTAGTTCAGAGTATGGGTGTTTAGTGTTGCCTTTATTGACCTTTAAAAATGTTGACACTGGCAAGGGCTACAAGAGCAAGGATCAGATTTTCTTATGTAGTAGGAACATTTCACAATTTAATGGAGCATCTTAACTGACTTCTGCAAAGATTTTTGATAACCATTTTGCAAAGTATTGAAATTAGTTACTAATATTATAATGTAATTAAGCATAATTGTTTAATGGGAAATATTAGTTAGCTTCTCCAGTCTTTGATAATTTTGAGTCTGCCATCTTTTTGTACTACAATCCTGCAGAGTGGGTGATTGAGAAAAACAGTTGCCTCTATAAGGCAGCTTTTACACACACACACACACACACACACACACACACACACACACACACACA